GTGTGTGTGTGTGGGCAGCTAGTTAACAATGGCGACAGCCGCGGTATCTGGTGCTGCAGGCGGCGCCCCCAACACCGGATCGGGAGCCGAGCTGGTCCGTGGACAGGCCTTCGATGTGGGTCCCCGCTACAGCAACCTGTCCTATATCGGCGAGGGGGCCTACGGCATGGTGTGGTAAGTTGTGTTCGGGGGCCGGGGGGGCTGGACGCCACGGCCGCGGTGTCTTGAGTCTCTCGGCGCTGGGTGCTGTGTGCACGGCCGGGCGAGAGAGGCTCCAGACCTGCCGGCGGAGCAGGGGGGAAACTCAGTTCGTGCTACACATGCATGCAAAGTTTTTTTTTTACGGTTTTTCTCCGTCCGCGCTGTCGGGGAAGCTCGCTCGGTGTCGGGACTCGCCGCCGTCGTACTTGTTGATGGAGCCGTGAGGCTGACGGACCCCGAGAGGGAGGGAGAGAGAGAGGTCTGCGAGAGCCGGATTGGGAATGTTGGGGTTTTTTTTTGTTCCGATGTGTCATTGATTTTCACTTTTCAATGCAGAGAAGGGCAACACCCTTTGCCGTAAGGGGTGTAGCTAGCGGATTACAACTCGGAGCCGCCTGTGCTTGGAGCCGGCTCGAACTCTCGGGTGCTATATCATTGCTGCTTGTGTCCGCCGTGTTGTTTATTAAACAACAACAACATCTTTATTAAACAACAAATGCTGTAATGTTACTTGACGACGTCGCGTTTCCCGGTAAACGCGCATTATTGATATCCGTTAGCGGCTTGAAGCCCAATACCTATGGAAAGCACACCCCAAGTTTTGACAGCCGGGCAGTGGGCGATCCAGTCGGGGGGGGGGGTAGTTTTATCCAGATGTGCGCCGTTTCTGGGAACGAGCATCTCCCCGTGTCCCGCCTTATCAATCAGTGTGTTCAGTTGATAGCGCATAAATCGCTGCCTCTTTCCCCCTTGGAGGAGGGCGAGGCTCGTCGTTTGCTGCGTCGCTGTGGGGTATAGGGTGTCACACTTGGCGGCATCCCCTCGTTGGGGCATCTAAGAGTTTAATCCCACCCCCCCCCCCCGGAGAGATCGCTTGTTGCATTTTCCGAGTTGCAGGTAAGGCGATCTCCAGCGCGAGCGGCAATTCATGGGAATGGGAAGGTGCTGATTGGCGGCCCGGCGTCACGAGCTGCGGGGAGCTCTCGCGCGGAGCGCGGCGGAATGTCCGCCCGTGTCCGCGGGGCGGTGCGTGTGCGTGTGCGTGTGCGCGCCGGTGCCCCCGGCTGCCCACCCGAACCCAGAGGGGTCTCGGCGCAGCTCGGCTTCCTGTGCCGGAGTCGAGACGGCCGCCGGGGTCACAGCGATGCCGGTTCCGGGCGAATTTTGTTTTTGTTGTTGTTTTTTACAAAAACTGTTCACCCTAGTGATTTGGAAGAAGGGGCTGGGTTTATCGAGAACGCCTTTGAAACAAGTCCCTTTTCCCGGAGTGAGTGCAGATCGCCACAAGCGATATCACTCTGTACCACGCAGTTAAGCCACGCCTAGCGATATTTATAGGAAGAGGGACGGGCCTACCTAGTTCAGCAGACAGGAGCGCGATTTATACCCCCACAAACTGAATGAATCAAAGCAGACCCGTCAGGTAATAATGTTTTGGTCCTTCGCAGCTGTGTTGCAATCGGTTCCTAGTGAATAGAAGGGTAGGAGAATGTGTCAGCGGTTTTGCTTTGTGAAAGGGGAAGGGTGCGGTTTGTGGAGTTCGTGCATCGTGCCACAGGTGTGGCGTTGTGTGAGAATGCTCTGGCCTCTTCATTAGTCCGGCCGTTACAGGTGTTCCCGAAGTTCAGATTCCTTTTCCTGATGCAGTGCGTATGCATATTCTGTGCAGCACAGTAGAGTCCCCAATAAGATGCAAGAGCCTCAAAATTTTAAAATTAAAAAAAATTCTGGACTTAGATGACCAGTTCTGCCTTGAAATGAGATTTTCACTTTTTGTCCTTTCAGGTGCGTAATATCAATTTTATCTTCGTTCCTTAACTCTTCTGAGTGATGCGTTAGAAACCGCTGGTGTGCAGGGTGCTGCTCAGTGGTTAAAGAAACCAGGATTTATCAGATGTAGAGACAGGAAATTAAGCAATGATCGTATTATACACAGCCTTGTTTGAACCATTCTGTCGTCCAGTGGGTTTTATTTACCAGCTGCCTGCTGTACATCTAAGTTGCTGAGAGCGTCCATCTTTGGTGGCATTTATGAGGAGGCTCAGCGTTAAAAGCAAATGAGATATCGACTGCCTGAACTGATACCTCCCTCCTTTTGATGAAGATAATTGCATCTTAGGACGTAAAGAGACTCCAGAGGTTTTGTCTGCCTTCTGTGTGCAAATGCCCATGACCTGTGCGGTCTCGCAGCCTGCTTTGCCAGATCTCTTTTCGTTAGACCTTACTTTGCATCCAAGCGGAAGAAATTGAGAGATCCAACTAGCTAAGAGAGCACTGGCAGGCGCAGTGCATGTGTTATCTGAGCAGGAAGCTGAGGGTGTTGATAGAATGCATGCTTCACTGCAACAAAAACAAAGGGATATACAGTGTAAGGGGTTGTCAAATGAGTAATCTTGAAGTGATGGAGGTTCTGTGAAATGTGCTCGCAGGAAGTACGCAGGTCCTTCATTGCTGTGGATGCTGGGGAACGTTTCTCGTTGATGCTCTGCAGAGATGCAATCTGGGAGCATCTTGGATAGGAGTATGAAAATCGCTAAATGATTGATCTGAAGCGTGGAGGCGCCACACGGCGATTCTATGTTCTTGGTGAGGCCTTGCAGGGGCCCTGTAGTCGGTGAGGAGACTGTAAAACAAACGAGCGAAGGGAAAGACAAGGGGCAGCCAGTTGCCAGTCAGGCGCAGAAGGGGTCCGTCCTTCTGCCTGGGCTGTAGAGGCCGGTCTCGCCCAACAGTCGCGCGGGCCTTCGTCGGCCAGCCGGCGCCTGGAGAGACCGCGCAGAGGTCCTCCGAGGCGAGCCCCTGCCCCCTGGGGCGACAACCGGTGGGGAAAACCTGCCGTTTCTCTTCACCTGCCACCTCCCCCATTTCCCTGATAGTCCGGCGGCCTGCTGGGGAAAGGGTGGTCACTTTTTCTAAAATAAAATAAAACCGGATCATCCCTTAAGCAGGTTTATAACATCGAGCACATTCTTTTACAGTGTTGTGTTTTAGGGATGCGGGCATATGGTTTTTAACTATCTAGATTTCTTTACCAGAGAGAGAGGGGAAAAAAAACGTGCCCATTATGCAGAGTTCTTAAATGCTAACAATTATGGACAGGTTTGGAGTCCAGTGTAGCTGTCCCAGTGCACGTCACTTCAGCTTGCTTAATGAGAAGTACAGTGCATTGCTGTCCGTGTGGTACACTATACTTTTGCCAAATAAAGGTTTGTCGCTGGATAATTTGCTTCACCAGGGCCTCGCAGAGCAGAACTGTCCTGCTTTGTTGATGTAGAGCAATATGGTCTTAATATTCAGTCTCCCTGGAGGAGCTCGGCCCTCTCTGGAAGTCGCGGTTGAGGTCTGGATGTTTGGCCCCTGTGCAAGTCGGGGCTGCGCACTGCCTGCCTGTCTGTGGAGTAGTGTGTGCCTGCTGTGCGGGGGTCTGGGGGGGGGGCGACGGGCCTGAGAGGCTCTCGGCGTCCGCCGTTGGGTCGCTCTCCTCTTCCTCCTTGCGTTTGCTCGCCCGTTGCCTTTTCCGGAGACGGAATTGAATCGGAGGGCGACGTTCGGGCCGGGCGGCGAAGCCGGGCCGCTGGGGTCGAAACCTGCGACTGGGCTCTGTGTGCCGTCTGGAGTGACCGGGGTGCGTGCAGACCGGGGTGTGAGGCGAGGGCTGCCGATCAGCCCTGGAAGGCTCTCTGCATCTCTGAAAGCACAGCCTGCTCCGATGGCCCTCTTCAAAGGGCACGAAGCAGCCCTCGGCCGCCTTCTGAGCTTCTTGCAGAGACCTGCTGACCTCGTTTCTTAACGAGGCCCAAACGTGTCTGGGCCGTAGCGCTCTGCTGCTTCCTGGGAGACGGCAGAGCCGAGCGTGTGCACCAGCACCCCCATCTCCTGGCCGTCCCGCACTGGGAGCGAGCCGGAGAGGGGCGGGGCGGTGAGGGAGCTGTGGAATGCGCCGTCAAGCCTGTGCAAGTTGGAATGGGTCCCACAGGACCGTAATCCCGTTAGGAATGATGGGGCCGGCGTGCTCTTTTTCCTTCTTTCCTTCATTTTTCCTGGTTTAATGCTTATTTCTTATCCGGCCTCATCCAAAGCTGTCGCAGGATCCCGCAAGGCGCGTCGCGTGTTCCTCCAGGAAAACACGGGGAAAGTTAGTTCCACACTGGAATTCACATGGGTTTTTTTTGGAAATGTTAGGAAGCGCAGCCGTGCAGTAATACCCAGGAAGCTGTAAAAGCAGCCATGTCACTCTGCAGCTCCCAGCTGGCAGCCCACTG